ATGTTCTTCTTGTCCTCTTATTCTATATGTTAAGACTGCAAGCTGTGCATATTCTGTCAACTTAAGTTGCCATTCTTCTTTAGTTGGGACCTTGCTCATTTTCCATTTTGGGGCAAACACAACACAGGCCGCAGTTGTTGCATACAAAAATAACCTTTTTTGACACCTGGGAATTTCAGTCTGAATTATCCCCAACAAGAATTCAACCTGATCCTTGTCATGGACTCACTGGAAGCTGCTGCTTTCCCAAAGCCACTTGCCTGCCAGGCCCCTAGCAATACCAATACTGGGAAGGTCCAACCCTGGCAGGGACAGTAGTTGTGGGTCGCCAGGCACAGGCAGGAGAGGATGAAGGCTGTAATCAAGGAAGGAAGCCAGAAACGGGCCTGTTTTTGAGAGATTATCCATTGCTCTGCCAGTAGACACATGTTCCATTTAAGAAGAGCAGAGATCACAAAACAGTAACCAGAATTCTGGTTCAATGCTGGAAGCTAAAATCAGATGGTCCAATTGGTGTGCCATGCTAGGACGAGCAGTTGCTTCCTTCTACAAGTAAGGAAGTTTTGCCCTAACCTCAAGTAATTATCTTAACTATCTTCCTTGCCGACAAAGGTCCGTATAGTTAAAGCTATGGTTTTCCCTGTAGTGATGTATGGAAGTGAGAGCTGGACCATAAAGAAGGCTGATCGCCGAAGAATTGATGCTTTGGAATTATGGTGCTGGAGGAGACTCTTGAGAGTCCCATGGACTGCAAGAAGATCAAACCTCTCCATTCTGAAGGAAATCAGCCCTGAGTGCTCACTGGAAGGACAGATCCTGAAGCTGAGGCTCCAATACTTTGGCCACCTCATGAGAAGAGAAGACTCCCTGGGAAAGACCCTGATGTTGGGAAAGATGGAGGGCACAAGGAGAAGGGGACGACAGAGGACAAGATGGTCCGTTCTTAACCTGAAACTCCGCTAACCCAGAAATAGTACCTCAGGTTAAGAACTTTGGTTCAGGATGAGAACAGAAATCACACAGCGGTGGGGGGGTGGCAGCAGGAGGAGGCCCCATTAGCTAAAGTGGTACCTCAGGTTAAGAACAGTTTCAGGTTAAGAATGGACCTCCAGAACAATTAAGTTCTTAACCTGAGGTACCACTGTATTGTTCCTCTCCTGTCGCATGGCCACACTTTCCAATGTTTCTGTAAAGGCATTTCCTTCAATGATTTAAAAAAAAAATTCTTCCAGTAGCACCTTAGAGGCCAATTCAGTTGATCTCTAAGGTGCTACTGGAAGAAGAAGAAATTTTTTTTGTTTCAACCACGGCAGACCAACACGGCTACCTACCCGTTCCTTCAATGATGAGCAGCATGATTAGTGATAGCATCATGTGTTATGCTCCGTACTCGGTGAGGCTGAGCATATGGTGGTTAATTAGAGCCTCTTTAAAATGATTAATTAACAGGGGAGCTTCTCGTTTTTCCACAGGAGAACCTTAAGGATGGGCAAAATTCTCACATTTGTGCTCTCTCTCAGGAGCTCTCTCCTAGGGCACAGTCACTAGGTGAGCTCCTTATTTTTTCCCTCCGTTCCAGTGCTGCTGCCAATGTCAAGATGCTTCCATCTCTCATGATCTCGACTGATTTTATTTTTATTTTTTTATGCTCAGCCACATAGTTCCCGGGTGTATGCAGAAATACTTCACCTTTCCATGCTTGACAAGCAGTGCAGAACAGAGAGCTCGCCGTTTGGTTTTATCAGAAGCGGAGGATTACACAATCCAAACCTAGGTCTGTTTGTTCTGAAATAAGCCCCACCAAATTTAGAGTGTCAGGCAGGATGAAAAAAGCAAGTAGAGTTTCAACCCGGAAAGGTCTGTTTGGGTGGGGGGGGGGGGGGTTAGGAAGGAAAATGAATTGTTATTGATCTATATAAATTAGTAACTTTGTATTAATGTAACATTTTTATACGTAACTGTGTGTGGAAATGGGTTTTTGTTACTGCATTTGAAACTGGGATGCTGTGCCACTATTTTTGGCCTTTGCAACTGATTTGGCTTAGTCAGGGGGTGCATGTTTTCTTTTTGTGGGGGGAGAGAGGCTTAATCCTGCCAGCAAACCAGTCTTGCTAGCCATTAGGTAAAGGTAAAGGTAAAGGGACCCCTGACCATTAGGTCCAGTCGTGACCGACTCTGGGGTTGCGGCGCTCATCTCGCTTTATTGACCAAGGGAGCCAGCGTACAGCTTCCGGGTCATGTGGCCAGCATGACTAAGCCGCTTCTGGCGACCTAGAGCAGCGCACGGAAATGTCATTTACTTTCCCTGCTGGGGCAGTACCTATTTATCTATTTGCACTTTGATGTGCTTTCAAACTGCTAGGTTGGCAAGAGCAGGGACCGAGCAACGGGAGCTCACTCCGTCACAGGGATTTGAACCGCCGACCTTCTGCTCGGCGACGGCAAGTCCTAGGCTCTGTGGTTTAACCCACAGGGCCACCCGCGTCCCTAGCCATTAGGACTCAACCTTAAATGAGTTCCTTTTGTTTACTCATGAGGAGTGTGTGTTGCTGGGAAGCTTCATTCCACTGACTGTGGCCACAGGGAACTCAGAAGGGAATTCTGTCCCTGAAGGATCGCTGGCGAAAAGAAATCCTTTGGGACGCCTGAGCCCATGCATAAGACCCAGGACAGGTGTTCCGGAGAATTATGTATTCCATACAGCTGAAAACGCTGGCAGCATTAAGATAAATTCAACAGTGTAAATAAATTATGATGGATATAATAATGGAATAGTGAATGGTTTAGTTTCTGCAAAATATGCAGGGATTTATGATATGTAAAATGAACCATGGAAAGAGAAGAAGGGAAGTTGTTGATATTTTAAGGATGTAAAAATGAGTACTTTAAATTGTAAAATAGAAAAATTAATAAAAATTATACAGTCATACCTCGGGTTACAGATGCTTCAGGTTGCGTTTTTTCAGGTTACGGACCGCTGAAACCCGGAAGTACCGGAATGGGTTACTTCCGAGTTTCGGTGGTTGCGCATGCGCAGAAGCGCTGAATCGCAACCCGCGCGTGCACAGACGTGCCGCTGTGGGTTGCGGACGCTGCAGGATGCAAATGTGCATTCCGCATGGATCATGTTCGTAACCCGAGCGTCCACTGTACAGTGGTACCTCGGGTTAAGTACTTAATTCGTTCCGGAGGTCCATTCTTAACCTGAAACTGTTCTTAACCTGAAGCACCACTTTAGCTAATGGGGCCTCCTGCTGCCGCTGCGCCACCGGAGCACAATTTCTGTTCTCATCCTGAAGCAAAGTTCTTAACCCGAGGTACTATTTCTGGGTTAGCGGAGTCTGTAACCTGAAGCATATGTAACCTGAAGCGTATGTAACCCGAGGTACCACTGTATTTAAAAAAGAGAATTATGCATTCCAGGCTCCCTGCTGTATTCAGAGATATACGCCCCCCCCCCCCAGTACAAAGGCTCCACATAGTGACTGTGGGGCTAGGGTGGGCTTTCGTTGGGAGAGCTGGATGGGACTCTCCTGGGTGATCTTAGAAAACAGAAAGGCCGTATGCAAATTAAAAGTGAAATGAACTAGTCGGTGGGAGGAGCTCTGAGTTAGGGACATTGTTTCACGGATCTAAGATCTTTTGAACCAGGGCTTGAATCCACACCACACACACACACCTTTGCTGAAGGAGCTGTAGGCCACATTGCAAAGCATGGGAAGACGTCAGACAGCCACCATCTCCATTTGCACAGCCGTCTCAATGCGCACGGGCCTGTTTGTGTGGTGCGCCGGTTCCTCCCAAGCCCTGAAGGTAAGTGAGGCGGGGGCGTCACGTTGGGGAAGCAACCTGCCAGCATTCGCTTGTGGATAACAGAAACACCAAGCTTACTGGGAGATGATATATAATGAATCGAAAAGGATGTGTAAAATAATGTTTGTTAAAAAACAACAACAACCAAACCCAGAAGCTTTTCTTTTGGGAATTATAGGTACAGAACTACCTAAATTGTATAGAAACTTATTCATGTATGCTACTAAAGTGGCAAGGATGTTACTTGCCGCAAAATGGAACGAAGAAGTCCCAGCAAAGGGAGAATGGATACAAAAACTTACGGGATATGAAGAACTAGCGAAACTTACCGGAAGAATATGAAATAAAGATAACAAGCTTTATATAAAAGAATGGAAATGGTTCCTTGAATATTTGCAAATAAACTGTAAGCAGATAAGAACATGGGCAGGATTATTGTAATAACCTGCAGTTTTACAAGAGTATATATTTAAAGTAGATGAATAAATGAGCAAATTAAGTTAATTTGGATATGCAGAAGATTTAAAAATAAATTTACGGAAACCGCAGAAAGAGGGGAAGGAAGTCAAGCTTTGAAATGTTCAAAATGACTGCAAAATTAGTGAAATGTATCAACCTGAAAAATATTTTTTTCTTAAAAGGGAAACACCAAGGGGGGTGGGGACGCATGTGGCCTCCTCCACCTGGGGCATAAATATAGCGCATCCATCCCCGGGGAAATGAGGGCACCGTGCAGCGGCAGGCAGGCGGCTCGGGTCCTTTGGGCGCCCCATATCTGCGCCCGCGGGCGCCCCGTCCAGCTGTGTGCTGCTTCCTCCTGCCAGATGGGCACCTGCGCTTGGCTCCGCGTCCATCCCCGGAGAAAGGAGGGCGCCCCCATATCTGCATCCTCCTGCCAGATGGGCGCCTGGCGCAGAGGCGGCGAGGCGCCCCTCGGGGGATTCCGGCGAGGCTCCTCTGGGGGCGCCGAGGCCGGGCAATCCCCGCGTGCGCGCGCGCCCCATCGGAGGCAGCTGGCTGGCTGGCGGCGGGGACGGGGGTCCTCCTGCGACTGGGGGGCCAGGCCGATCCGCGGAGCCGCGCCCCCGGCCGCGTCATCGCAAGCGGCGCGCCCGCGCGCGCTCCCGCCGCCGCCGCTCCGCTCGCCCCGTCGCGCAGCAGCCCCGCCGGCCAAGCTCGCCTCGGCCAGCCCGGCGCCCGCGCCGAGAGGCGGGTCGGCGGCCGGGGACGCGCCCGGCCACGACGGGGGCTGGAAGCGGCCGTCGGAACCCGCTCGGCCGAGGCCAGGTAAGGAGAGCGCAGAGCCGGCCGGGCGCCCCCCATCCCGGCGCCGAGGGGGCTCCAGCCACAGGCCCTTCGTGGATCGTGGCCATGTGCCTCGGGGGAGGAGGGCATCCCGGCGCCCCCCGCCCCGCCCAGGAAGTCGAGGATGCCCGGGCGCGTGCACGCCAGGGGGTATTGGTGGCGGGTAGGGGTCGCCCCTCGCCCTCCCCCTCGGCGATGCCCTCTTCCTCTGGGCATCTCCGGGCCTGCCGGGCCCCATCCGCAGTCCCGCAGCCCGTCGGGGAGCGCGCAAGGTGGGCCAGGCGGCCGCAGCTGGATGCTCTTCCGACCGAGCGCCCCGGATTAGTCCCTCTCTCCTTCCTACGGGTGGGGGGCGGATTTGGGGTGGGGGCCCTCTCTGCTGGGCCGCCCCCGATGAGAGGGAAGGGGGGCAGCCGGCCCTGGAGGGGGGGCTTGAGCACACACGCCAGGCCCTCCGCCAGCCCCACGGCTCGGAGGGCAAGCGCAGGGGAGCCAGGTGTGGGGGGGGGGGCTATGGGACCGGGGCTTGCAAAGCTTCTCCGGGCGACTCTTGGCTCTCAGCTGCTGAGGTGGAGACGGAGAGGAACAGCGTGCATGCAAAGGGAGCAGATTTCCCCCTGCTGCTACTCCCAGATACAGAGAGAAGGCTCGCATCCTCGCGAATTTTGCATCTTCCCAACTCTTGGACAAAGTCCCACTTCATCTTGACAAAGTAGGGCTCGCCAGGCTAGTGTTGCTGGGCGGATGTGGATTTGGGGCAGGGGTGGGGAGGGATTATGGCTATCCTAAGAATCGGGAGCTGTTCTCCAAATGCTCCACTACTTGTAGCATTCAAATGAGAATCCCAGCCCCAGCAGCCAAAGGCAGTACAAATGCTCTCCAGTCGCTCTCCATGGTGCCTGGGTCAGGGAGGCCCTGGAACAGAAGAACCCTCTGGTTCCCAGGGCCAGCCTGCTCCCAAGATCCCTTGGCTAAGATGGCTGAGACTCGGCCGGTCATGAGAGGAAAGGGAGCTTCTTTTCCATACATTTCACCCTCGCCGTTGTGCATGCAGACGGTGTCAGCAGGATATTTTGCTGCTGCCGTTCCGAGTGTGGAGAACGTTGCTTTTCTGAATGCTTCTAGATTGAGACGTGGTAGGGTCTTGTTAGCCGCAAATGGATTTTCATTCTCCTTTGAAAAGGCTGGGGCTTTCCTGGTAAGCTGTTCGATATGCTCACTGAATTGAATAACCAGTTTACACCCCCCCCAAAAAAAAGAACCTGTGAATGAGAGGGTTGGGGGTGAGCCTTTAGGGAAATGACTGGCCTCCAAATGTACTGGGTGGGGTGTGGAGGTTTGTCCGTGTAAACCAGCCCTAGAATCTCCTATATCTATCTATCATCTATCTATCTATCTATCTATCTATCTATCTATCTATCTATCTATCTATCATCTATCTATCTATCATCTATCTATCTATCTATCTATCTATCTCTATCTATCTATCATCTATCTATCTATCTATCTATCTATCATCTATCTATCTATCATCTATCTATCTATCTATCTATCTATCATCTCTATCTATCTATCTATCTATCTATCTATCTATCTATCATCTATCTATCTATCATCTATCTATATCTATCTATCTATCTATCTATCATCATCTATCTATCATCTATCATCTATGTATCCATCCATCCATCCATCCATCCATCTGTGACTCTCTCTCTGTGTGTGTTTCTGCTGGAGCTTTTTCTATGTGCTTATGAGCACTCTGTGCATTGCCTCTCTTTGGATCAAACATTGATGGGGCATCGACTGACTTGGAGGTTTCTAATGCCGCTAATCTGAAACAGATGTGCTATAGAAGCACAGAACTGGAAGGGATCCAAAGGTCATCCTGTCCAACTCATGGCCAATGCAGGAAATCCACCACGACAGCATCCCTGATAGTTGGCCACCCGGCCTCAGGTGAGAAGGAGAGTCCCCGGTCTGTTTTGCTGTCAAACAGCTCATGCAGTCAACAAGTTTTCTGTCATATTAGTTCTACATGCTTTTTCTTGCAATTTGAACCCATGGCTCCAGGTCCTTCCCTCTGAAATAGCAAGATGAATCTGTTCCATCATCTCTATGATAGCCCTTCAGATATCTGAAGATGGCTCTCATCTTGCCTCTAGGCTATGCTTCTCCTTCAACCTTTCCTCCCAGGACTTGGTCAATGGCCCTCGCTGCTTTTGTCAACCTTCTGTGGGCATTTTCTAGTTCGGCAGTTTCCTTCTTAAACTGCAGTGCTCAGAACTGAACATCAGAACTGAGCTGACAAAGTAGAGTAGAGCAGCATGGTTACACCTTACTAAAATGTCAATTTCCTTTTCATACCATAGCATTGAGATAGCCTGTGGAAACATTAAGCTTGTTTGCTTATCCAGTATTTAAGTGCTGGCATCTGTGAGTGCATTAAATGAGGCAGTGGTGAAATGAATATTACATTCATCTGCCAAGCGAGGTATCCTAAGTGGCCTGTACATTTTTAGAGACCGTAGAGCCGCTCTGGCGGACTCCAGGTGAACATAGCAAGCTGCCTCAAACCAAGGGAGTCCCTCTAGCCCAGGATTGTCCAGGCAGCACCTCTTTGGGCATTCAGGCAGGGGTCTTTCCCAGTCATGCCAGAGACTGAAACTGGGAGCTTTTGCATGCAAAGCAGGCAATCTGCCATGGAGCTATAGGCTGCTGCTCAATCCACAATTCAAGCTGATTCTTGCCTGCGCTACAGCATGCTTGTTAACACATTTCTAGGAGAAGATGCTTGATTACTACAAATTAGCGCTGATATGACATCTGTGTATCTTTTCCGTACATCTTTTCCTTTCCAATCTTGCAACATAGAAAGAAGCGGCTGTGTAGTTTCATTTGTTCATAGGGCTACCCAGTTGTTGGCCAATGGTCAGGGGCGGAGGCGTTGCGTCCTTTGCTGGTGCCCGGGGTGAGCACACCAAGCAGGACAAGGGCTGGGTGTGGAGGGTAAACAAAACTCACACCAGCCCAACCCTCACTACCACCACCAGGCGGGCATGGGGCACAGAGGCTGGCTGACGAGGCCCTTGGCATCTGCATCCACACCAATGCTGGCCAGGTGAACATTCAGTGAGGACTGGAGGCAAGGCCAGACCAGGCTCTGGGGCCCAGAGAACCCCAGCGGCAGTCAGGGCAGGAAACCCTGTATGGGGGCGCCTGGCTCTCACCCCCTCAGAATCATGTGCCCAGGGCTATGGCCCTCCTGGCCCTCACCATGCTACACCCCAGTTCAGTACCCACCTTTAGGTTTGGGTAGGTACAGCACAAGATGCATATTTTATTTACTCAGAAGTAAGTGTCACTCAGGAGCACGGGTGGCACTGTGGTCTAAACCACAGAGCTTAGGGCTTGCCGATCAGAAGGTCGGCGGTTTGAATACCCGCGACAGGGTGAGCTCCCATTCCTCGGTCCCTGCTCCTGCCAACCCAGCAGTTCGAAAGCACACCAGTGCAAGAAGATAAATAGGTACCACTCTGGTGGGAAGGTAAACGGTGTTTCCGTGCGCTGCTCTGGTTCACCAGAAGGAGCTTAGTCATGCTAGCCACATGACCTGGAAGCTGTCTGCGGACAAACGTGGGCTCCCTAGGCCTATAGAGCAAGATGAGCGCCGCAACCCCTGAGTCGTCCGCAACTGGACCTAATGGTCAGGGGTCCCTTTACCTTTTTAAGTGCCACTCAAGGTGGTTGGGGGCCCTGTTGCAGTCCCCAAATAGGGGCTGATTCCCACTCTGCAAAAGGAACACATGGGACAGTTATTGCGCTAAGTAAAGCCTTGTGGTGGTATCTTAAAGACTTAAGAAATTTAGCATGGCACAAGTCCTTGGGAACAGCAAAAAATTCACTGAACGTGTGGTGTTTCACAACATCAAAAACATTTCGGGAACCTTGATAATCGTAAAGAAAATACTCTTTTAAGTTCAGTTAACTCGTCCTTGCCTTTGCTGACTTCCTGTCTTGGGCCCGTCACCTATTCTCAACCTAAGCGACCTCACACAAATCTAATGAATATAGACAGTGGCTGCGAAAGGGGGATGAGTGCTTTTTCCAGAGATATCAAGTTTGGATTGCTTTATAACCAGGTGATGTGTTTTTGTATGTAAAGGTTCCCATTTCTCTGGGTATGTTACACCCGCAAATTAGAACAGCTCCAAGGCTGCAAGCCAGTCTTATCCTGGCCTGATTATTACATGTTTTAGGTGGAGAGTCCACTACTCTCAGGTTTGGGTGCTGATGTAAAAAAATGGGGTTTGGCTTTTCCTGCCCAGCTCCCCATGGGACACTGAGCCCCCAAAGTCTATGATGGGTTAGAGAAGAATAGATGGAGGCAGGATCCAGTGGAAAGCAAGGCAGATATTTATTTGTTCTGTTGCAGCAGAGTTCTCTTCCCTCCTTGCAAGGAGGGAGAGACCCCAAACAAAAGTGTGCAGGAACCTTTAAAGACTTTGGACATTGCCCTTAGCCAAAGACTACCCCAAAATACATTCAGCATAGGAGGCAGGTCTACAGCAGAAACCCTGTCTGCCAGGATACCTGATAATGGCTACTGATTGCATTACCTGGGCAGCCTGGCCATTCTTTGGTGATGGTTAATACTTCAGTTCCCGAATACAGGTCACAGGCTCCCCCTATTCATACAGAAATTGGGCACCAGCTTGGCTGCAAGGGTTTCCAGAAGGTGGTGTGCAAAGTGCCCTCTAACCGCCTTAGGAACTCCATTCTCGATTTGTGTAGGGTTGACTCCTGAGCCTGTTCTTCTCCCGAAGATGTCCCGCAAGACAGGAGACTCCCCTGCAAATCATAGATATGACTTCTATCATTTGGTAAGAAGACTGAGAAGTACGAGCAGCTCATCTCATAAAAATCATTTAGAAAGTTGCTTTCCTGTTTTGGTCTATAACTTTGCTTCCAGGAGGGATATA